CAAGAGCTTAGACTTTAATGTCTTTTGATAAATGCTTACAAATACCAAAAATAAATATAATAGCTGAATGTACATGAATGATATACTCTTTAATTAGTTAGAAAATTTTGCTCAGATTAATAAAGTTCAAGCTCCGGCTGTTTGCCTGTTCATCGGTCCACTCACGTAAAATATTTCAAATTTGTATGAGAGTAAGCCCTCTGGGAAACTGTTGACAGTATTTATTGCCTTACGAGTCTACTGTTAAGTTAGAGTAAGTTTGATCATGGGGGTGATCCTCCTTTCAAAGGTAACGCGGATTCCACATTGATAACTGTGAATGCTGTTTCTTTCAGATACTTTAAGTTTCTAGATAAGTCCCTCATTGATAGACAAAGCCTTATGAGCTGTATAGGTGGCCCCATCCACTACATTTGGCTTGTTGGAAGTATGTCTTTCGGGATGTTTCAACCTCAATCTGGTAGAAACTGGACGTAAAAGTGTCTAGGTTAAGTCACATCGCTGACCTTCATGCAACTTTAAAATATTTGCTTCGCCGTATGAGCGCCAATGGGTGTTGTTATGCTGAAATAATTCAGTGGTTCTCTTACAGTTTAATCTGGTTTAGAATGAACTCGCTGTTGCACAGGTAGTGGTTACAAACCAACAATTATTAAGCTCACACGAGGTCTACATACCAAGTGCTAGGATGGAATAGTGCAGCGGAGCAACCGTGAGTCTTAAGCGACAAGGGTACGAGCGCTTTGTTTAGTAGCGATTCCGCAAAGACCGACCACAATAAGTCGAATAACAAAGTAGCGTGATGCTACTGATAAAAACTACGGGTACTCCTTGACTAGTCATGAGCGCACTGGCAGCTAGTCCAGGAAACAGTTGTACAATTTAGCATTCAAAATGGACACAGAAGCCACAGTTGGCAAAAGCTTATGTGGTTTTGATTATTTAGAGAAGCGCATCTGATCGTGGCGGAATCAGGGGTGTAATATAATTTGGTTCCATAATGTATACAATTTTTTCATACCATGGGCAGTTCGTTAAGTTGGTTTTGAGGGTCAAAGTAAAAAACTACCGAAAAAGTTTTTCATAGTTGATATTGTCTAGGTAAGCAATGTCAAATTATGGAAAGCTTAACCTCAAATTTCTCATTTCGAACCGGCTCAGGGTTTTCATTTTGGATATTTTCGAATAACGTTTTTTCGCCGATACTCAAAACAACTTGTGGTATATTCAGCTCTACGCTCCACAATTGTCGAGATTTGCCGTACTTATTTTTTACAAATTACTCAAATGTTTACTTTTTAGCATAGGTTTAGCGAGCAGGAGAACTTTTGTGCTGATTTGGTGTCCTAGAAAACTTGTAAATGAGCACTACTTGTCATAACTGTTAATGAACATTGTTGTTGTTGCGCAGATTGAAGGATTTTTTGTTCATTTAAAGGTGGTCACTCACACCGCTTTCGGTGACATATAGTAAACCCAAACAGTCCGAAGTCGCCCGCGAAGCGCTTAAAACGTGGCGTAGCCACAGCGTCTAGCCCCAATACCCGCTGTTGCCATACAGACGCCGCTGTCATGGCAGTCGCCGGCGTTGCATAGCACACTTTGTCCGCGTTAAGTGGAATATTTGAAGTGGCTTTTGGGCGGTTCGTTGCTCCATTTGCGGTTTTGCACGTCTTTTTATCGTTGTATGGCTTTTAACCGCACTTTTGCCACACTGTTATGCACTTGTGTTGTTGCAGCTGCTGCAACTATTTGTTTTTGCTTTTTTACATTGTCTTTTTTTGGTTTTTTTAGGTTTTTTTTATTTTTGCCGTACCTTCTGCTGTTTTATGCCGCACTGCTGTTGTTGTTGCTGGGTACATGCTTTGTTTGTACGGCTGTATACTTGTTGCTGTTGCTGTTTCTGTTTTTCTTTCGCTCGCCGGCAAATGAGCTCTGTTTATGTACATATTTTGCACACGTTTCACTCACTGCCCATGCTTGCGGCTACTGGCTGCGCCACTTGTCTTTGCCACTGTTTTCAGTTTCCGTTGCAGTGGCTTTCGCCAAATACCGCTCCCCTTGCACGTGTCCTTATGACTGTTTATGAATGTTTCTGTGTGTGTGTGTGCGTATAATTCAGCAGGAACAAAAATATTCCAACAAAGGCTGCCAATGTAAACGAATACATAAGAGTGCATAAAAGTGGAAAAGGGAGAAACCAAAAATAATATAATATATACATACATATATGCATATGTGTATGTGAAAATGAAAAACATAATACGTCCAACAACAACAACTGTGAAAAGTGAAAATAATTGCGGTTGTACTTTTTTCACAGTCAACAACCACGGCGCATTTGAGCGACTCTTGGCGCCCATTCTTCTGCCAGCTCGGCGGCTTCCACGTAGGTAGCCGTGGCTGCAATTAAAACGCTATGCCCATTACATTTGCACTACGTTATTCGTTTACGCTTTCCACTTATAGCACATTTTATTCGCCCCTCTCCCCACCATTTTCGTTGGTTTTTGTCATAGTGCTCTTCGCAGATAATTGAAGGGATAAGTAGGAAGGCAGTGATTATGAGAGATGCAGTTCGCACCTCTCCAGCTCTCAGTCTTTAGCCGCCTGCAAGCGGCTGTGCACTAACGGTAAGTACGTGTGCTTATATGTATGTATGTGTGGATTATTTTCTTTTTGCGCCGGCATTCTTTGTAATTGTTGATGGCTAGGCTCGCCGCAAAAGCAGCTCAAAGGATTTTCCACTGCGCCAAAAGAGTAAAAAGTAAATGGAGTTTTGACTTTGACTATGACTGACCGCGTGTGTTGCTGACTTGCCGTGCTTTTCAAGGGATTAAAAGGTATCACAGCCACGTCTTGCTTTTATTTAGACTTTAATCACATTAAGCGGAGATTAAATGTCGCTAAGTAAGGAATGCTCCGACGCCAGGCAGGTGTGATGACTGTTTTTTAAGCGCAAGTCCCAAAAATCTCTCTAGTTTGGACTTAGTAGTTTACAAGTAGAAAATCCTTAATCACTTGAGTTGTGAGTTTAAAGATTTGTTACCAAAAAACAATTATATATGTATATAAACACGTATAAATTGTACCTTCAATTCAACTAAAGGCGCTAAAAATATAATTAATATAAATAAAATAGTTAATAATATAAAGAAGCAGCCGTTCAATATCAATTTTTGTTTCCGATATATTATACTCTATATTATAGCAAATATTTCAAATGGTCTGCTACGTAAATGATTCCATTCAACTGAGGTAAACATTAAACATTCGATTTCTTTATCAAAATATATAAAACCAATTTGGTGTTTATGTGTTGAAAAGGCGCTCTTGATTTTTTGACAGTCTTAGAGTTCGATTCTTAACAACTCATTTCCCTTTCTCTTTCCAGGTATTTACCTTTGCGATTCTTTATACCTTGAAGAGCGTAAATTAAGTTTTTAATACCCACAAAGAAACTTCGGTGAGCCTAAAATACTTAAATGTTTTGATTGTCTGTATATACCCAAACTAGTAGCTCAGTTTTCGAGATATTCTGATACTTTCCAAACGTCCTTTTTTTCTAGAAACTGTCATTTGTCCGAACCGCTGATACCGGACCACTATATCATGTAGTGGTCATATAAGTCTCATGTGGGATACTTTTTTATTTCACTAGATATCGTCACTAAATTCGGTTATAAGGTAATTGCAAAGGTATCAATCAAACCTGAATTTTTTATACCATTATCGCAGATCAAATAAATTACTCTATTTCACCAATATTTTCTGGTTCTCACTATGGAAAAGGGAAATCTATTCTAACAAGTTTTTTTGGGCATAGAAAATCTCTCGACACTTGTACATAAACTTGATCTTTCGGGCATTCAGCCAAGAGGTCTTCAATGGGTAAGAAAATGTACTTTTCCCCTAGATAAATGCACTGTTCTTACTATGAAATAAAAAAGTATAGTCTACAGAATTTTGTTTACTTTGTTAATTTGAGAGTGACTATGAACCCTAGGCTTAATTTAAGTCTTCGTATTGATACTTGAAATCAAAAAAAGTTCTTAGTTTTGTTAAATGATAATCTAGAAATTCTAAGTCTTCTATTTGGAACTTCGGTTAGGCCTGAAATCCATACTGACAAGATAGAGCCTGGTCAGGAACAGATTTTACTTATGAAATCTCCGAAAGGACTCTAGGTAAAGTCATAGGAAGAAATATATTATGTCTATTCGCAGAATATCTTCTCTAAATATATTTACTTAAAAAAGTAGTAGTTGAATACTACTAAATTCAAAGAGCTTTGGTTAAAGCCCAATTATCGTAAAAATAATTTATTTAAATATTTCTTTATATGTGCCGCCCTCATCTATTTAATCCAACAGTTTGATTGTGTATGCTCCTGGTTCCTACTATCCTGTAAATGAATTCATTTCTTATGGAGAAGCATAAAACAATGACAATTATTATAAATTCATAGCCTTCGCTAGCTGAAAATTTTAGCTACAACCACCAACTGAATAATAACTTTGTAGTCGTATAGTTAGAGAAATTAACAGCCGAAGTGGATGGGATAGCTGAGAGCGGCGGCCGTTGCAGGAGCACGAATTCCGGAGAATAAAAGAGCGAAAGAATAAATTTCATTGGAAACTTCCATTGAGTGAGTGTATAAGAGATTCCGTTATTGCTATAAAAAGAGAGCAGAGCACAAGTCATAAGCAATCATGGTGAGTAGTGATACGTTTATTTCAACTCTCGTATAGTTTCGTTTATTTTATGGCTGCCAAATTGGACTGTTCACGCCATGGAAGTATAGATATACATATGTAAGTATAGGAGAAAGTAACTTTTGTCTTAACAAATCCTTTTTTTTTTAATTAAAAATATTTTTTGAAATCAATATTCTTCTTTACTTGATAGTAAAACTGATCCAAGGAATTGTGCATAAAAAAGAAAACTTTGTCGTATTTGCATACTTGAGCTTTGTGTGAGAAAACTAATATACTCTAACTCTACCCTATAATGCGAAAATTTTAATATTTTAAAATTAAAAGTTGGAAGAACTACTTATCATTATAGAAGAAGTTTGTATAAAACTATAATGTGCAATCATAACAAACTGATGTTTTAAGAAAGTTTAAAGAAATGGATTGAGAAAAACTTTTAAGGTTTTGTTTCAGGGTAATCGTGTCATTGCAATATTTTTAAAAATTACATAAAGTAAAAATCCATCTCTCTCGAGATGATGTGCCTATTACACCCATCTTGGCTTACAGTTACCATTTACGGTCACAACTTATCGTAACCCATACAAACGTCAAAAACATTGCTGGCCTTAAAGTAATTGGATCGATAATAATAGTGTTTTTAACATTTAACGAATAAACATGTTTGAAAAGAATATCCCGTGAAAGATCTTTGGTTCATTCTGACGATATACGAGGTTTATGAGGAAAGCATTTTTCCCCTTTCAAAGTAATCCCCAGATATAATCTTAGCAAAATCTTCACATCGATCTTACTTGTAGTGCTTTCTTCAGTAATGGCTCATGCGGCAGCTTCCACTGAGATGGTTGAGCTTTAGTTTCCAGGATATAACCTACATTTCGTCACCATTTATGAGCCTCTGGCGTAAATCTGGGTCGTCACGAACTAAGTTCAATATCTTCTCAGCAATGTCAATATTTTTGGTCGAAAGTGAGCCATTTTAGCCTAAACTTTGCGCCGACCCGACTCATTAAAATCGAATTTCACGTGCCAATCGATATGTTTAATTTTTCAGCAATTTCCCCACCGGTCATTCAACGACTCGTCAAAACTATGTTCTTCACTACATTAATGTTTCGTCCTGTCTCGACATGGTCGGGCGTCCGGCACGGTCTTCGCTGACCCCCTAAGAACAGTTTGTATGGCACAGTTAGTATTCGGAATGTATTTGCGTACTTACATAATTTTGTTTTTCACCCAAAATTTTACTATATACAGATATTTCTGATCCATTATTTAGAATATCGCAAAGCTGTCAAAAATTAACTAAGCATTCAAAATGGCCGACCTTGTAACGATGAGTAGGGTATATGAGTACATAACGCAACAAAAGCTGTCAGTCGAAAAGTAGTGTTGTAGTAGCTATGTTGATATCATTAAGGATATCATTAATTTAACGGTTTCAATAAGATATAAGCTAAATAGGCGAATCTTACAACATTTTTACCAATTGTACTTTTCGCTTCAGCGATGAAGCATTAAAACAATGGTAATTATTGCAACGGATTATTACATTATATAATTTTAATGGCACATTTGTGCATTTAAAAAAAATATCTAAAGTTTTTCCAGCTCTTTGTAATAATTACGTATTAATTTCACAAATACTTTTGTTTGGAAATGGGCGTAAAAAAAATTAATCGTAATTATAATAACATGCTACAGCGAGTCAGTTGTTAAAATGTAATATTTTAAATTTATTTTTGTTGTATATTATGTTTCATCGAAAGCATTGACAGTGTTAACTCGAATGTGTGATTTTTCAACTTAAAACTTGTCGCCTATTGTATTTTGCATTTCTGCTGTTTATCTGCAGTCTACAGTAGTTTTTATATGTCAACCCACGGGGAGTCTCTCACGACAGCGCAAACATGGGCTGTGTATTGGATTCCGTATGTATAGTGTGTTGGTGATGATTGTCGCCAGCTGACGCAGATCCTCGAACGTGACAACGTACACACACACAAACGCCACCATAATTGCGTCTATGAAAAATTTTTCGTTTATTTATATATGGCTCAGCGACGACCTTTTTATGATAGCAAATTAACTGTTCACACTGCTATAAATTCCGAACTTAATTGCAAAATGATTACATGGAATTACTGAGCGGAGGGAAAAAAACTGTAGCGCCTACAAGAAGCAATAAAATTATTACACCCAGGCATATTTGCTCAGGTGTTTTCAATTCTCTTTTACATATGTCAAATGAAAGCAGACTGAGCAAAGTGGGTGCAGCAATTTTTGACTTCCTGATTGATAATTTATTTTGGTTTCGCCGACAGATTTGCCGGGGAATATTCTTTCTTCTCCACACTATATAGATATTTACGGCTTTCCGACGATCAAAAGGTCATAGAACCACCTGCGTATAGTGAAACGATTTGCTTCTATGTCCTTACCTTGATTGTTAATTTTGCTAGTTTTCATTATTTCGGTTATCATTCACTTTGTGGCCATTTCCCTTGTTGAGCAGACTCAGAATGTTTAAAACAAGTATGGCTGTGGAACCCTGTAGCAGTATAATAGTTACCAAATCTTTGCCATACTGTGCACAAAATTTCCCGGTTTTTGGAGAAGTGCAGCATTTCAAATTCTATCCAAATCGGTGCCTTCTAGGGTGTATAATATAATTATGCGTTCGTGTGTAAGAAAAACAAAAAAACATATATATTTACTTATTTATAATAGTACCTGACAATATCTCTTTATTTGCATTTAATGGTGTTCTCATACCCTAAATTGTTAGTGGAAGTTATGTTATCTCACGCAAACTTGATTTGGGTATAATCGGTTGAGCGACAGAAAAACCATTTGGAATGTTAAATAAACGACAACGACAACACTACAGATTATCAACAGGTCAATGCTGTTGTTTCATATTTAATGACATTAAATGAGATAAATTTGTTTTTAATTAAGTTTTATTTTTTCATGCGCTTCACTTTCGAAAGGTCATAATTAAATAATTTATTTTCTTTAGCATTTAATTTATGTGTTTTTGTAAGTAATTTACTGCTGCGTCTGTTTGTATTGTTTCAGCTAAACCCTCAGGCCTGGGAATGCGCTTTCCTGGCATTCTTTGAATTTTTTTCGTTTCTTTTCCGATATCATTGTTTGTTTATTTTCGTTTGCTATATTTTGTTTTGTTTCCGTTCGCCGTTCATTTGGAGATTTCAATGAAATATTCATGCCGGCCCTTATGGCTAAAAGGGCTAAAGTTTAAAATTCACGAAATTCTTGAGAAGTTCCTTTGTTTCCTATTCACTTTGCATTCTTTCGACTGTTTGCGCCCCAATGTTTTTCCGCTGTTGTTTATTTTGCGGTCAAATATATTTTATAATACTATGCAGTGTTCAAAAAATCTCTATTCGTCTGTCTTTACCCCTTTGATAGCCACAAAGCTATTTAAGTATCAAATTTGCTGGGTAAGACTGATATCTTAGCACCATGAAAAGGTTAGGGAAACTTGTTATCTTCTTTTTTTGTCAATGAACAAAAATTTATAAAATTTCATGAACTGTGGCAAGCAACGGATTTATAGATATAACTCCAAATGAGTAACTTTTGGTTTCAGCAGTTTATCCAGTCATAGCTCTTTCGAGCTGAAAAAGTGCTGAAAGGCAAAAGGCCTGAGAACCGCTTACCGGACATATTTCATATTTGAAATTAATACATTCAGAACTTTGAATGTAAGATACAATTGGTCATCCATTTATGGTTGTCTAATAATAATTACTGTTAATTTTAATAAATAGTGACGACCTTAAAGCAATATAATAGTTTTAATTTTGAAAGTGGTTAGGCGGCAAAAGGTTTAGTTTAGTTTAATAGTTATTCTACAAGCGTTTAAGAGTAAGGGTTTAAACTTCCTTGTTTAGACAAGAGAAAAAAACGTCAAAATGTTCCATTGAGATTTTCACTAAAAATATAAGATTTTTAAGTTGCAAACTAATAGTGCATGCATTAACACTTCAACTAGAATTTCCATCGGAAATGCCCGAAGATGAAAAGTAAAACGTGTGTGTGGTCAAAACCTAACTTGACAGAATGGATTTGATGACTAGGGTTCCACTCCACAAACCAAGCTTTTGGGTCCAAAGTAACTCTTAAAACCACATAATTAAAAACTTCATCTAGACTATAATTTTACATTACATATCGAAAAAGCACATCGTCTTACACTTTTTGAGTTTCAATGGCTATTCATCTCTATTACACTCTATCAAGCAAGCAAATTGTTTGGGTCTGTTCTTTTGACTGAATCTGAAGAAGTCTCATTAAATATCACACGTTGCGTTCAATTGCTTATCATGTTGTTTCTATTGAAGACATCTTGCCTGAAAGCTGAAATGATCAAGTTTATGTACGAGAATACTAGATTTATGTAAACGAAACCTTTGCTAAGCTTTTTATTGCCCACAAAGGCAATCAAATTTGTTAGAATAGACTTTTTTAAACGGTTTTATCTATTTTTGCCAATACCACATACTATTAACATGCCACATACTGGATAAATGTTCCCTGTGTTACATTATGATACGTCACATACAATTACTAATCATATGGATTAAGTCAGCTGAATGTTCGATTTTGAATTTGTTATTAACCCATTTACGCCCAAACCAAAACCATTGCTATTTTATTATATTCGTTTTTATTAATGTAAACATAACAACCATTTTAAACAAGTTCAGTAGTTAAAATTAACGAAAAAAGTTGAAAAGTTAACTTTTGAGGGTGTACTTTATTTAGTACAGCGGGCACYTATGAGTGATAATTCTTAAAACAATCTTTGTCAATGCATAACGATTTTTGGCATCCAGTACATTGCCATTTTATACGCTGATGACACAAAACACACCTTAACTGCTTGGGTAGCTTCCCAGGGTTATGTCCATTATTCCTGTTTGGACCTGGTACAATAGATCCGGATGGACGGGTTTTGGTGTTTTTGCAACACTTCAGGTAGCTTCGAGCAATATGTCTCCTAAAATCCAATTGGTCAAACTTATTTGTGCCCACTAAAGCATGTAGACGCCATGCGTTAGATATACTCATATCAATCATGTATGTGAAGATAACCCACCACCATTTTTTACCACGAATACCAACGCGGTATAATGAAATAGAACCGTCCATTTCATCAACACCACCCATGCCCTTATTATAGTTTTGAAATAAGTGTGGTATATTCACATCCATTTTCTGCTTATTCTGMGAACACCAGCGTTTTACCTTACCCATAGGTTCAATTGTATCAAAATTGGTTCCTATTGTGCACACACTATTATCTTTCCACCTTACSACCAATAGTTCATTATTAGTATCGAACCTGTAGTCATATTCACCTCTATTTGACTTTCTTAAGTCWTTCACCGAACGTAAAGGACAATTTTTAGTTCTATTTTCACGCATTGTTCCAGYTGSTTTGTACCCAGTTTGTTTTAAGTCTCGCAGTAAATCGCAATTTGTAAAAAAATTGTCGAAATAAATTGTATGTTCCTSAGGTWTAGCAGCCATTTTCAACAACAGTGATTTGACAACTCTATGCCCAAGAGGTTCTTTTGAGCTCACAAGGGTTTTTCCGCAAWATACATCAAAGGCATAACAATAACCATCAGAACTTGCTGCCACCCAGTTTTTGTAACCAAATCTAATTGGCTWACCTCTAAYGAATTGTTTGGCGGAMTGGTGACCATAATATTTTATCATTGATTCGTCGATCGAAATGTCCTCATGAAATATGCCTTTTTGACAAAACTTCTGAATCAACATATCACACAGGGGTCTAATTTTGAACATTTTATCATTGGAAATAGATGCACGGCTATTATCAACTAAGTGCAAGTTCCTCTTGATATCCAAAAATTGTTTACGTGACATACAATTGGATATAACGGGAACTCCAAGATCTTCATCATAATTCCAATATTGGCGCTCACGTGGTAGTTCATGATATCCAGATAGTATAAGGATTCCTAAGAATCTGCGTAAGTCATCATCGTCTAACTCAAAGTCATGCCTATTATTTTGGCCAGCATACAAAACCGTATTATGCTTGATCATGTGCAATACCTYCTCATCAAAAWTKTTTTCAAAAATCTCTACCGGTGAGAGGTTTCTTAGCTGTTCAATAACGCAGTCTTTTCTTGATGAGCATTCATTATTGGCTAACCGAGAAGAGTAAGATGGTGGGCATTTTTTCCACTTCGGTTGTGAGGTAAATTGATTATAACGCCTTTTTTTGCTGCACAATGGCTCTTCATCACTCTCTTCCCATTCAGATACCTCGCCAAAATCCTCATTGCGATACATTACCTCAATCGTCCCAGGAATATCTTTGGGTAATTTTGACGTCTGCAAATCATCTTCCTCTTCTTCTTCGTCGGTTACCTCATCAGGATCGGGCGGCAAAATAATCAAATCATATTCRTGGTCACCTTGCTCCTCCATTATAGCGTCCACGGCTTCTTCAAGCCCCAAAAAGTTATTAGCACTTTTAAAYCTTAGCATTTTTAATAGAGCCTAAGAAGGAAATATATTTTCATTTACATATCACATGTGCCCATTGTACTAAAAAAACGACACCTAACAAAATTGTATCACCAATGCTGCAAATAACAACTACTTACACGGAATGTTTTTAAATTGATTAGTTTTTACTTTATACACTTTGAAATCGCTAATAATGAAATACCAAATGCAAAAATCCAATTAAAAATCGCGACTTTTTCTTTGGACCACTTCTGATGTGAAAACTATAATTGAAAATGTAAAAATTAGACATCAGCTGTTGCATCTATTTATCTATAATCTTATCTAAATCGAAGATAATACTACAGGGTATCTAAAAATTAAAATATTTTCGTTTCAACTTTAGTAGACTTTAAGGCTTGAGTTGAATTGGTGTCGTTTTTATAGTACAGCGGGCGCAAATGGGTTAGTTATATGGGGGCTAAGTGACTTTGTTTAAAAAATATATTTTTTGTACTCTTGAGTTGTTATGAATTTTATTACATAATTACGACAAAAACGATTCTAATTTTGATGATGAATGAACTGGATACTAGAATAGATCGGGATGACGAATCGAATTGAAATCCGATGGACTGTTCCTTCGTCCCTCTGAGTAAACATTGAGGTATTGCGATGAAGCACACGCTTTTTGTAACCCAAAAGTCGTGATATATACATTGAGATAAAACTTTGCATAAATCGTGCCTTTATGATATACTACTTGAATATCAAGTCTAAAATTAGTCATAATCCTATCCTAATTTTTCAAGGGTCTAGATATCGAATCTCCAAATGGGTTGAGGCTGACCGGCTTCGCCGGGGCCCGAAATATGGTTATCTGTAGTAGTAGGTTCCAGCATAAGAGATTCATCAAACTACCTGGCTGTCTCCGGATCGAAAAACCACCAACCATATCACGTCTCCAGTTTTTAGATCTCCGAGGTCTTAACATCGACTCGGAACACTATATTGTTGCAGCCAAGATTCGCACCCGCCTCTGTGAAGCAAAAAACTCACGCCAGCAAACATAAGGAAGGTTCGACGTCGAGAAGCTGCAATCACAACAGACAGCCAAACGATTTTCTACTCGGCTTGCACTCCTGCTCTCTGAGAGCACTCGTCAACAACTCGGTATAAGGGAACTGTGGGACGGCATTCCAAACTCCTTACGTACAGCTGCAACCGAAACCATTGGTTTTCGGAAAGTGCAAAAGAACAGCTGGTACGACGAAGAGTGCCGTGTCGCAGCGGAGAGAAAACAGGCTTCTTACCTCGCAACGTTACGATCGATCACAACACGTGCGGGATAGGATAGATACCGAGAATTGAAGAGGGAAGTGATATGCATTTGCAGACAGAAAAAGACAGAGACCGAAATGTGTGAGTATAAAGAGCTTGATTAGCTGACCGACAGGGGAAGGCTCGAAAATTCTTCGAAAAAATGTGGCGGCTTACTTAAGGTTTCAAGACCGGAGCATACTCTTGTAGAACCCCAAAGGTGATCTAGTTACCGATGCCCAGAGCATACTTAAATTATGGAGGGAACATTTCTCCGGCCTACTGAATGGCAGTGAACACATAACGCCAGGACAAGGCGAACCCGATTCCCCAATCGATGACGATGAAGCAGAAGTTCCTTTGCCCGACAATGAAGAAGTTTGAATAGCAATTACCCGCCTGAAGAACAACAAAGCGGAGCGGCCGATGGATTCCCGGCCGAGCTATTCAAACAGGGCGGCGAAGAATTGATAAGGAGCATGCATCGGCTTCTTTGCAAAATATGGTCGGACGAAAGCAAGCCCAACGATTGGAATTTAAATGTGCTATGCCCAATTCTTAAAAAAAAGGAGACCCCACATTCTGCGCCAACTACCGTGGGATGACTGATTGGACCTTATCAGTGTGTCTTTAGACCTGGCAAATCAACAACCGACCAGATATTCACCATGCGCCAAATCTTAGAAAAGATCCGTAAAAGGAGAATCGAAAAACCAAACTCTATAAGTCACTCATAATTCCCGTCCTGCTATATGGAGCAGAGGCTTCGATGACAACAACTGATGAGTCGACGTTGCGAGTTTTCGAGAGAAAAGTTATATACATATATGGTATAAAGGTTTAAATCTTCTGATTGTCTTTTTACCGTGTATATCGGTCAATATGTAATATTTCTACAAACACTACTAGACCACTTTATGTAGGGTTATCTGAAGTCATTAATGTTTAGTAATAAACCTAGTACCTTCAAGTTTCGGGAGTGAATATTTAACATTTTATTTATGACATGTAACTTGAGATAGTGGAAAAAGTACTCAAAAATTGGGTTAATGGAATTCGTTCCTGCAAAAGAGCTCTTGAAGGCTACTTGAATGATGTTATGTTCAGTTGATTATTTCGACTATACTTCACACTAAATAAAAAACATTTAAATTCCCTTAATAAATACTGTGTTTTTTTTTTTTTTTTGTTTTTTTTTTAAATCGCAGCACTCTAATTGGAAACGCCTGTAGTATAGTTAATTGCGAAAAATATGTAAAATTAAACTGTGAAGATTATTGATATTCTTTATTCTCCCTTGGCACTTGGTCCTTCTATTGGACTTCTTTTCGGTGCAGCATTATTTTCTATGCGAACGACATGGCCTAGTCAGCCTAGTCAGCGCATTTTTACAATCGCTCCTCCATTCCTATTTAACTCTCACATCTTTGGAATTTGAACACTCACGGTCTCATTTGCGCTTGATCTATTCTTTCTTATATGTTAGAAACCTTCCCGGTATTTACTATATTTTTTAGGAAGCATATGGTATTTTTGTAGAAAGCATATTCTGGAAATGCGTATTCTTATTTGCTTCTATTGGTTTCTATGGTATTTACAAAGATACCGAAAACTAATTTAATTGCTTACAACAATGATAAACACACCACAACAACATGACTTACTGCCGTAGCACAGCAAGAGCTTGTTGCTTTTTATACCCATTGGCTTGCTTATCTGCCACGAATTCAGGAAAATTACTACAACATATGTATAAGTATGTGTTTACTCACTCATACCACTATTTCCTAACTTCAATTACATTTCAATAATATTCTTAATGTTGAGTTCTCAATTAATTGCAAAGTGCTGAAGCAGAAGCACACTCAATGAATTTCGCTCACACTACTTGTACTACTGATTATCTGAGTGTTGGTGGTATTTAAGTGGGTGCGTTGGTGATTGGCAACACTATCAATACACTATCAACGGTTCAGTAAATAAAGTAATTATAACTACATTAGCACTCATTAAATACTCAAAATTAAGAAAATGTAGAAAAAGGAAAACGGATTAGCAGCGCCGAAAGCGAATAACGAAAATGCAAACAACAGTGAACTCATTAAATTAGAAAGACGTTGTTGAAGGGTACGCGCTGTTGCAAGCAGGATTTAACAAACTTCGACGCAGCTGCCACGCCGATGACTGTATGCGAGGATAAGTGTGTGCAGAAAGTTATATAACCCTATTGCCAGGGCAAAGCAGGAGGAAGCGACTGTTGTAATCCAAGGCGGCGAGGAAAGCGATTGGAGGATAAAGGGGTTGGCAACAGCATTAGTAGGCGCCAAAGTGAAATAAATGGCTAACTTAAATTGAGCCAAGGTCTGGAAGTGGCAACGCTGAAGAGTTACCGAAATAAGCAGAGCGCGCGCTTAGCGGCAGAGCTCCTTGCCCTACTGGCGTCTGCGCGTATGGGGCCAATTTAAGGATAATATGCAGTTATTTAACTTGATAAAACTCTTTTCATGTGTCGAAGCCTAAGCCCGCGACAAGTGGAAATACAGCTCAGACTACATCTCAAGTTCTGTGCGCTCGCAGAAAAAATCTTAATGTTTTGGTGTATGAGTGGTTTACAAGGGCGGTCTGATAAATATATAATTTGTATAAAGGAAACGGAAAATTTGAAGAAATGAAATGAAAATGAATGAAATGATACGTCTTTCAAGATAGCCTTTTTTTAGCTCGATAAATTTGAGCCAACAGTGCTCTAGCCTGCTATGTACCATGGACATGGACGATGACAACAACGGATGAGTCGGCGTTACGAGTTTTCGAAAGAAAGGTTCTGCGGAAGATTAATGGTCCTTTGCATCGACGAATAAAGCAGCGGATGGAACGATGCTATACAAATCATACGACGACTTTGACATATTTCAGCGGCTACGCTGGCAAAAATAAAATAATAATAAACAATATAGTAAAACTATGTGAAAATGGGGGCCCCATCTTTGAAATAGGTTCGAGGAGTTAAAATCATATAATTCTGTTTAGTTTTCAATAAATAAATTTAAAGAAAAGTAGCGCCAATGGCCTCCCCATGCCCAGAGATCTTCACTATTTGTTGAGGTGCCTAGTTTTACAGCTACCTCGGTCATCTTCAGACATCTGTCTACGAAGATAAGACTAGATTGTGGGAGTTTGTCCATTACAGCAGTTCCCATAAAGGCAAATGGTCGCCATATACAGCAACCAAATTCCCCTTAATTTCAATACGTCCACTTTTCTTCCAAAAGCAAAACCTACAATCGAATCTTTGATCTATATTGCGTTTTATTTCATGATTTCTTATTCGCGGTCAAAACAAAACTATCGAAGTTCGAATTGAAACAAATTTTTACAGTACCCGGAGATTGGACTGTGCGTTATTAAATGTGTTGCTATATTGGCGTCATCGCACGGTAAAGCTAAATATCTAGTGGAGGACCCTCGTAATTGAAGGTGCGTGGGATACGTTGCGGGCGGGAAAAGTTTATTTTTTGTTTGATAGGAGAAAATTGTGTTTTATGCACCAATAAATTGCTTACTTAATTGGACAGCATTCATCAGCTTCGAAGCCTCCGCCGGCGAAGGCAAAACGAACATAACCAAAAAACAAAACGAAACTTGAAGGAAGATGGCAAAAAGAAAGCAATGCAGCAGCAGCACAAATGAATGAAACGGACAACAATTGATTAAATGAA